TTCCCTGCCCTGCACCGGCCTGGATGTGAAAAGTGTGGGGTCCACTCAGACTCGGGCGCGAATCAGCAGCATTAGGTGGCCGGCGGCGGGAGCACCGCATTTCTTGTCTTCCGCCCCGGTCTTCGCTTGCTCCAACTCGCTGCCCTTCCCTCACCTCACCTGGCCCCCCGTGTGCCGCCCGACAACCTTCCACCACCTCTCCCGTCCTCCTCCTCCTCCTCCTCCTCCTTCTCTTCTCAGGTACAGAGTAGGTAGGTTCTGCTCTTCGGCCCAGCCACTCACCTTACACGGAACAAACACAAGCAGACCACCACCCACAACATCACGTCCAGGCACACAGGCACAGGCAATACTCTCGGCCGTCCTCCCAAAATTGCGGGACATGACTCCACGTACTTTTGCCTTCGCCTCCTCTCCAAGTTCCAACACGTCGACGTCCGGTCTGCCGTCTACATCTTTCTTCCCGACCGGTCCTCAACTTTTACTTCCGCACATACACACACATGCGTCTACCAAGTACACGCACACCATTATCCGCATCAGACGTCGATAGCCAGCCCCCCTCTGCCGTTTTGCCTTCACCGGTTGCCGCCGTTCGCGAGGCATCCCGGAACGAAACAATTCTGGCCTTGGGACCCCTCACCCTCATCAGACCACCTGCGGGCGAAGGGCCAATGATAGGCCGCCCGCTCCAGAAATTTCTCCTAGATATGCCAGATGGGTTCTGGGTAAGGGGAGAACGGTCTAGACCACCGGTCCCCCCGCACCACCACGACACTCACGGTCCCTGAAGTACCAGCCATGCGGCTGACAGCTTGACATACCGCCGCAGCATAGGTAGTCACAAGTCCTGGCCCGAGCCTGGCCCTATACTCCTCTCCTGCTCCTGCAGTACGCGGCGAGACGAGCCTCTAATCTTATTTCGCCCGCCACCTCCTGCAGCATTGCGACCCTGACACTCCCGCCCATCGAGACATTGTTGCCAGATCGCACCTTGCCGAACCACGCCATCCCACCACGTCCAGCTTGCTTGCTCGCTTGCTTACGGCGGGGTACGATGGATGCAGTCTTTGCTCCCTCCGCCTGGTCCGACCTTTGCAGGCCTACCACGCGCTATTCGTAAATGGCCCTCCGCTTGCTTCCAGCAACACAGTAGGCCCCTTGTTTGCGCCTGACAGGAACAACTGTAGTGTCATGGCTTGGGCCAGTCCATTGTCCGTCTGAGACGACGGACGGAAAGCCCATGCGTGTCCCGAGCCGCGTATCCGCCATAGTTTTTTTCCCACCAGTTCAGAACAAAAGTCATGTTGGCTGGTATGTTCAAATACGTCATGACTCCAAAGGGGGCGTCAGGGAGCACAATGAGGCATTGGGCATGGCGGTTTCGCTGTGGACGACTGGGCATACTATTCCAAATTGCCGAGAGACTAACGGTCGACGGAGGCGGGCGGAAGGTCGAAAGAAAGAGAGACACGAGACCTCTTCCAATGCCTATCGACCACCCACGAAGTACATGCAGACCTCGCGTGTTTCTGGCGGATAAGATCACGCTCATCATCAATTCCGGCCTGGGAGTCTGCATCATTCCGTTCATTGGCTTTCCGAAGCGCATAGCCGCCCCCGGATTCTCAATGTCGGGAGCCCAAGCAGAAGCCAATACCAGACGCCCAGCCCAGGCGAGCTCAGCTCTGATTACATCACGCCAGAGACTCTGGGTCGATCAGGCAAGGTACGGATAGCTAAAGCCTAAAATGAGGCTTGGGCCAACTACCAGGGGTGCAGTGAGAGGAGACGAAATGTTCGTGCCACCATCGGCATCCCAGGGCTTCCTTTTACAGACGTATCACTTTGCTTGATTCCTGCGTCGCAGCTATGCAAAAGCACCCGAGGAGCCCAATTGGAAAAAGCAATGACGAGCAGATGATGATCTGTTGAAGGGTCCTCTGTTCCATGCCCATTTCCAGGGGGCACGATGGTCTATTGATAGATCAGGTGCATATCTTTACCCGTTGACGGTCGCAAGACGAAGTGAGGGCGATTTTGACGATCCATCGAATGATGGCAATGAACGGCAACTATTACTTGTTGGTACGCAACTAAAACAAGCAGTATCAGCAACATTTGAATTGGCACCTTGCATTGCAATTGCGGGTAGCTTGCTTGCAGGTACCTTTCTTTGTACAAGTCATGTACCTCGAGCAGTACCTTACCTCGAATGTACGTACCGGGAGGCGAATCCGGCTGGATTCGATGTGGCTGGGAGGCTGCCGGAGAAGAGAGCAATCCCCAACAGCCAAGCAAGCAAACTCCATGTCTATGCGTCTTCTTTTTTCTGTTTCTGTCGCGTTGGCCTCCATCGAATTGGGGGTAGGAATCAGTACTCGACAGCAACTGGCTTGTCTCTTTAGGTACTCGGTCGGCTTGCACTACACGCACCCAAGCAAATTGGATCCCGACATTGAAAATGGCCCTGCGGGTCGAGTGGCAAACCACAAGACTGGGTCGCTCTCCATCGAGGGCGTCCACCTGTTCCGTTCTGCTCGATTCGACCTGGTCTCGCGACTCACTCTCTTTCTCCGTCTCCGTCCTGTTTCTTCTGTTTTGCTGCCCACCGGACACCGACCGAGTCTTCTGGTCTCCCTCTTCTCGTACTCAAGCAGTACGGCATTCCGTCTCCGTTCCCGTCAACACTGCTGGCTGTATAATGTCTGAAGTTGTATCAAAAGAAACCTTACCGATCACTCTCTGGACAAGTCGCAAAGAGCCTTGCCTACTTTAGTTCGTGGCCCGGTCAAGTGGGAGGGCCACCCGACCATATCTGTGTCCCTTGCACATCTGAGAGCGGCAGCCAAGAACCGAAGAAAAAAAATCCCATCTTTCTTCATCCAATTTGCTGCTCCTCGCTCCAGAACGGGCACCTAGCCATGCACATCAGTTCGTTCCCACCCTCAAGGATGTCCCCTTACCCGCAGCTCTCAATCCGCCTCTTCTATCATCACCCCCTCGCTGCTCCTTCTTGGACCCCGTTCCACCTAGGTTGAACTGGCATGGCTGCAGCTTCCATCCGCCAAAATCGTCTCAGAGCTCTCCTCGAGCGGCTTTCGCGTTTGCGTCTGTTTCGGCACTTACACCTCGTTGATCTTAAACCCACCCCTCACCGAACGCCACTTAACCCACTGCCTGGCCCGATTGCTCTCATCTCGCCTTGCCAGTCCACTGTCCCTCTCGCTCCCTTCTCCTTCAACAGCTCGGTGTGGAACGGCACTGCCATCTCGACCTCTTCCTGGCGGTTACCATCCGGGGGCGACGTGGACGCATACAAGCTACTACAGTACGCTGTCGCAGAAGACGTCGCCGCCTTTACCCCAGCGCGGTACTACCAGTCCGCTTCGCTCCTCCAAATACGCCTCCCGTTTCTCCCGGCTCGTCCTCGATAGCCCCCGGTCTTGAATCCTAGGACTGTCCGGTACCATCTACATAACGACTACTCATTTGAGGTCCGCACCAAGGGAAAAAAAAAACCCTTTCTCTTGGCCCATCGAAGAGCCTTGTTGCCAAAGTTGCCCGTCCAGACCCCGATATTGCTAATCAGTTGGTAAACTGGACTTCCCGGCATCTCCATTGTCTGCGCTAGCCAGATCCTCGAACTTGGGTATTGGCCACCTTCCAACCGGTAACTCGTCATCTTCCCTGCGCTATCTTCTTCGGTTGTCTGCAACTGTCCGGGTCTCATGATGGCTCTTGCCCTTTTCCCTCCATAAATATCATTGGACGTCTGAGGTCAAGCCAGTCTTTGTGTTGTCTCCGTCACTCGACAATGGCAGTAGGTCTCTAACGGTCACGCCAGGAAACACTTCGCCAGACATTCCCCTGAGCTATTCTGAATGTCATTCGATCGGCACGCTCTTCACCTTACGCCTACCTTAGCTCTTTGCGTCTTTCTTCGCTCTCTCTCAGACTGCTCTCTGCGCATACTCTTGACTCGTTGAGCCCGAGTCCGGCAGTCTCCTCAAGTTGACATTGCTCGGCTTGATCCCTCGCCTCGCGTGCACTCTTCCAGCATCGGACACGTTATCTACGAACTCTGCCGGCAAAGCTACGCTTGCCTCAGCTCCACGAAGTTCAGGTAAGAGACAGCCCTCGTTTAGTGGCGATTGCACCACCCAGACAGCTGCACCTCTCCACACGATATGCATGCCTGGAGTTCCCTAATCTAGCCCCTCGCGTCTCGTTTCCTCGTCCCGTCCTTTCGTCGGCAGCTCCCCCGTTACCCCAGCACCCAAGGCTACGCCGTGCCCCCTGCTTGGGGCTCTTCTCTGCATCGGCATTGGCCGCCCGCACGAGCTGATCACCTTCCAGGAATTTCCATTGAGCCACATTTTCACAACTCTTCATCCCGAGCAGGGTTTACTGCCACATATACCCTGGGGCGCTCGGAAGCGTGACTTTTTCTGACGGAGAAAACCCCCCCTTTCTCCTAAAGGCTGTGCAAACTAGCCACATTGGCCACGACGTGGGCAGTCACTCATCTTCCGTAAATAGCTCAATCTCTTCTGTGGCGCTTCGAAGCACACATCCATCATATCTTTGTAATTCTCCTGCCGGGATCGCCTTAGTCAGAGTTGTCAACTTAGCAGCCAGAGGCTTGAACTAGTGCTTCGCGGAAGGTATAAACTACATAACGGACCAGCTTCTGGCGCCGTTTGGCACCGTTCGTGGGTTTCGGCGAGCTTGCTAACTTGGGCGAGACAGTTTGTGGGCGGCGTACACTCGAGTCCCAGGTTGCACCAACCACCTTACAAATGGGAGATGTTCAACCCCCACCCACTGCCACCGAGTATCCAGTCGTGGAATCTCACCAAGGCCTGAACGCTGTAGGTGCCTCGCCATATCTTCTTGATGAACAGTCAAGAATGGAAGCTCAAGGTGCAACTCTGCCGCAGTATCACCAGCATCAACAGTACGGACCCCCGCAGCATGCCTTTTCATCCCATCTCGACATGGCACAGCAACCCGCTCCTGGCCGCCCCGGGGCTTTCAACATGAACGGCATGGCGAACGCGCTTCCTCAAGCTTCCATGAGACACGGGCAATATTTGCCTGCTGGCCAGCAGCAACACCAACAGCAGCAACGATTCAGCCCTGCGGCGTCCTCACCGTCCATGATGCCCCAAATGCCTCAAATGGCTCCCCAGTATCCCGGCCAAGCAGCAATGCCGATGGGCAACCCGCACTACTACATGCCTCAGCACCATCAAATGCAGCATTACTATGCGAGTCAACTGTCCCCGACGCAGCAGCAGGCTCGACCAAACATGGGCTTCTACCCGAACCAGATGGTCATGAACCATCCGCAGAACAGCCACATACCCCAAGGATACTACTATCCGTCGGGTCCCTACCCGAACCAGGGGCAGGCCATGCCTAACCACATGGTCGCGGCGCAGTACCTTTCGACAACGAACACTGCACACGCCGATCCGAGAATTGTGCCGCCCATCAATGGCGTTGATCAATCTAATGTCAACGTCTCTCCAAACCACAAACTCGGCGGTCAGTCAACTCCGAAAGACTCGCAATTGCGTCTTGGTGCTCACATTTGCATAGAGGATGGAGAGGGAAGATCTGGCATCGTTCGAGGGCCACCGAGAAAGCCGCGACAAAGCGGTAAGAGTTCACACTGTCCTCCGCCAAGCAAGGTAGAAAGTCATTGACAAAACATAGGCCATGCGATTTGGATCGGAAATCTGCCGCCCCAGACAGACCTCATGAGCCTGGTACACCACGTCTGCAAGGAAGCGAATGGACTCGAATCCTTGTTTTTAATCTCAAAGAGCAACTGCGCTTTCGCTAACTTTAAGGACGAAACAACATGCGTTACGGCGCAGCAGAAACTCCACGATTCGAAATTCCAGTCTGTCCGGTTGGTCAGTAGACTCAGGAAGAGCACGGTAGAAGGCGCGACTGGGGTAACGGCACCGACAGGTCCATCGGCGTCATCGGGATCCCAGACTCCGCACGATGTTCCTGTGAAGCCGACAGTGGTAGAAGCCTCGACTGAAGCGGCAGCTCCTGAGGCGGCCGAGACCAAACCGGCTACATCAGTCGATGCAGCACCTCAAAAGGACAAGTTCTTCGTTCTGAAGAGTCTGACTGTCGAGGACCTAGAGCTAAGCGTGAGGACTGGTATCTGGGCCACCCAATCCCACAATGAGGAGACTCTGAACGGGGCTTTCCAGGTGAGCAGAAAGTCGGGAACGCGGAAGGGTGCTCTTGACTGACAATCTAGCAGTCTGTGGACAATGTATACCTTGTGTTCTCTGCAAACAAGTCAGGAGAGTATTTCGGTTACGCGAGGATGACATCGTCTATCAATGAAGACCCGGCGGCCGCGATCGAGTTCGCTCCGAAGGCACAGTCTGCGAACGATACCGACCTACCGAAGGCCATCCCAACCGAAGCCACCGATTATGCGCCGAAGGGCAGGATCATCGACGACTCGGCCAGGGGAACAATCTTTTGGGAAGCAGAGCGCGAAGATGGTGAGAGCGGCGACGAAGAGGAGGAGCAAAGCGACGTGAGCAGCAGAAAGAGTTGGAATCAGGAAGGAGATGGCACGACCAATAAGGCATGGGGCAAGCCGTTCAAGCTGGAATGGTTGTCGACCGCGCGATTGCCCTTTTATCGGACACGTGGGCTCCGGAACCCGTGGAACTCGAACCGAGAAGTAAAGATTGCGCGGGACGGTACGGAGTTGGAGCCATCCGTTGGACGAAGACTAATTGGTCTGTTCAATCGTGTGCAGAGCCCTCCGAACCCCGGGGCAGTACCAGCTGCCATGCGACCTGGGATGGCGATGATTGCAGGATATCCGCCCATGAGGCCGCAGTTCCAGCAGTGATTTGAGCCGATTGAGCCATCTCTTCGTGCTTGAACGAATTCGTCGGGCGGTAGATGTGGTTCTCACGCAGAATTTCCTGAAAGAAAGATTTACCTTGGATCGGACATTTATGGTTGACGATGATGGTTTTGAGCATGCTTCAACGACGAGCGCATATGCGGGCCATGACGAGCGCAGAGATGGGACTTTTGGCTATACGATATTGGTCTTCAATGTACCTAATCCGACTGTCTAATTCTACGAGCAAGTACAATGTACACTAGGCATGGCCCGAGTCACGAAAAGAGAGGAGGATTTTGCTGAGACGGACAACTACAGAGACATGAAGGTGCGGGGTGAGCCGGCTTCTAGGCCAGGTCAGCAGGCTGGTGCCCGTCCCTACGCTTCATTATCAGCCTTTTCCCAACTGGTTTTCCCTGGTGATATGAATGACTTGCTGCGCTACCAGAAAGAATTAAAATTGAGATGATGAGGTTGTGCGCTGCGCAGTCCCAAGACATGTCGTCGATCGACTGTGGCACTCAGGAGTGGCGACATCCACATTGTGGCTTGACCCTAGACGTCGGGAAGGGATGAACCCAGGGTCAAAGAGTCGAGATGCAAGGACAAAGTTTAATTGGAGAGGCCGCCGCTGGCATGGAGGGCACGTACCAGAAATGTCGCGATGTTGACCGTCAATTGTCCAGGTCGGCTTGCCGCTCAAGATGCGGGCCCTGTAGCAAGCGCTGCTGCGGGGAGGTTTGGAGAGCCGTCGGACGCCGCGTTCGACCTGGACATGCTGCTAGGGTCAATCTGGTCTGGCTTCCGTGGCCGCTTGTGTGTGCAGCGAGGTTCGCGAATCGCAGCGCCGGTGCACCGTTACATCGTGACGGAGGAAGAGTTTCGAATGATTTCAGGGCCAAGGCGGGCTTATGCCAAACATTGACATTGACTCTCGGTTTTCGTCAGAGCAGATGTGTATGTGTGTATGTGACACACTCATTGGAAACGGGCCACTCATACCTTTCGTTGCTGGAGTAGGTGTTGGGTATTTGGGGTCCCGTTTTCCTCAACTCAAGCCTCAGTCATCAGCCTGCACTGTCTGCGCCGGACGTTCCGTCCCAATGGTCGCACTAAGTAAACGCCCACGATCGAATTGAAACCAGCTGAGCGGCGTCACGAGACGACTGGAAGGAGATGGAAGGTCTAGACCCCTCATCTCCGGAGGACATCTCTCTCGGATGGGCAGAGGAAGACGTGGAGAGGGTGAGAGATGGAAATCGCCCAGTCCAGGCCTCAGCAGTACAGGGGTCCGTCCAAGAGAGCCCGTCTGATCCAGAAACTGGATATATGATTGGTCAGATACTTCTTCATGGACAGGTCGCACAGCGGCAGTTAAGCGGGGCCCCGGCCTAACGCCGAAACTCTAAATCCTGGGTGGGCAACGAAAGGCAGGAAGCATTCTCCCGGGATCTATCTGCTTAGGTCGGGTACATACAGCATCAGTCACTACGAATGCGCTCTTGATGAACTACAGAGCAGAACCGAGTGCTGAACGGCCAAGCGTAATGATGAAATGATGCGGAATTTGCCAATTGTGTTACTTTTAGTGGCATTTTCTTGCCAGGTGAGCCTTGATGCGAGAACCACAGTTGTGGAAGGTGCTGGAAGCTTCCACATGCTTCCATACGTAGAAGCACCTCGAAGCGTCTCGTGAAGCCATCGCCATATGCTTACCCCATAGAATCCTACCAGCAGGTTTCCATACACGTTCGCGTCTCTTCCGTAGCACCCGAGCTGTTTCCAGAATGACCTGGCGATGATGACATGCTACCTTTCAGCGATGATTCCGGAACTGTGTCGAAGGCTTGGTAGTGCCTGCCTCAAGTGTATAAATCGACCGACTTGATCCCCATCTAGTAGCCTTCTGTCTCCATCAGAATAACAACAACAACAAGAAGAAGAACAACACGCAAGCAAACACACAAACACACAAACACACAAACACACTCTCAACAACATCCAAGCACCCTGCGACTCAATTCGCTTATAACTCAAAACCCAAACAAAATTCCAAGTGCAGCTCTTTCACATCACAACCTACCCAACACGATCAAAATGGCCGCTTTCTTCCCCCGCAACTTCTACAACTCTGACGCCTCCTTCACTCCTCTCTTCCGTCTTCTGGAGGACTTCGACAACTATTCCCGCCAGGGCGGTCAGAACGGCACCACCCGCGGCACCCACCGCAACCACGTCCCGACCTTCCAGCCCAAGTTCGATGTCCGCGAGGTCGAGGATGCCTATGAGCTTCACGGCGAGCTCCCCGGTTTGAAGAAGGAGGACGTCTCCATCGAGTTCACCGACCCCCACACCCTCCATATTCGGGGCCGCGTCGAGCGCTCCTACACCGCGGGTACTCCCCCCGCTGGTCTCCTCCAGCAGAGCAATGAGATGAGCGGTGCCATCACCGACGGCCAGGAACGCCCCCGCTCCGCGCACCAGGCCACTGTTGAGGACGATGACAACGAAACCAACTCCACCGCCCAGCCCACACCGGCCACTACTGTCGCCGAGGTGGACAAGAGCGGCAAGCAGCAGCAGAAGCAAGAAGGCCCAGTCGACAACGCCAAGTACTGGGTCTCGGAGCGCAGCATCGGCGAGTTCAGCAGGGTCTTCAACTTCCCTGGCCAGGTCTCGACCGACAACGTCTCTGCCAAGTTCACGGACGGAATCCTCACGATCCGTGTGCCCAAGGCTCCCAAGCATGAGACCCGCCGCATCCAGATTGCTTAAGCAAGCCCTTCGACTCGACCAAAAACACTCTTCCTTACGAACATTTTACGATTCTTATACAATGGTAACAATCATGACGGCTAGAAATTCCGGGGTTTCGAAAACGAGATTGCATTAATGATCCTACAGCATGGCTTGGTGTTTCGGTCCTTCTTCATAGCACCAAACTGATGGACGCGCTCTTTACTCGCTTGTAGATAGCAACTGAAATCAAAGTTATTATTTTTTTTACGAAACCTGAAAGGTTCAAATCGAGAGATTGCAGGAGACGTGACCGTTGGAAGGGGACGAGAAGGTCTAGACGGCGGAGTGTAACAGACCAGTTCTAATGACAAACAACACCACAAGCAGGCAGGCGATGCTGCCTGAACTTGTGTAAGCAGATGAATGATTGACTTTGCTCCAGTTCTAAACTTCCGTGAGTGGCCAACGATATTAGCGTGGTGGAGACGCTAAAGCCAGGCAACAAGTGGGGCCGATTCTTGATTGAAGCCGGAAAGCGCACGTGAGTTGGTGTGGCACTTTCCTTGCCACTTCCTCGACGCGTCTTAAAACCCGCGTCGCCCACACAACACAAGCTCAGCGCCGCGAAGGACCCTTATCTCACCTCCGACATCGTGGTCTACACACACGTCAATCGATTCAAGCGCAGTCCAGATCTTCCCAAGTCACAATGGCCGAAGCCGACGGATATGATGAAAGCAATATGGGCGACGAGAGCCAAATGACTGGCCCTGGCGCACCCACGCCACTGACCGCTCTTGAGGTATATCCTTACTGTGAGGCATTGCCGACTCAAAGATATTGACTCTTGGTAATTAGGGAATCGCCGGGTTGACCAAGCGCGACATTCAGCTTGTTGTCGATGGCGGCTACAACACCGTGGAGTCCGTCGCGTACACCCCGCGTCGAGTCTTGGAGCAGATCAAGGGTATCTCGGAGCAAAAAGCCACCAAGATCCTTGCTGAAGGTTGGAATTCTCATAGGGAAATGTGCGAAGTACTAATTCTGACATATCTGTAGCCTCTAAGCTTGTACCAATGGGTTTCACTACTGCCACAGAAATGCACCAACGCCGAAGTGAGCTCATCTCTATCACTACGGGTTCCAAGCAGCTGGATACACTTCTCGCCGGTGGTATCGAGACCGGGTCGGTGACAGAGCTGTTCGGAGAGTTCCGTACAGGAAAGAGTCAGATCTGCCATACCCTGGCAGTAACTTGCCAGCTTCCATTCGACATGGGGGGTGGTGAAGGCAAATGCTTATACATCGACACTGAAGGCACGTTCCGACCCGTCCGTCTGCTGGCCGTCGCCAACAGGTTCGGCCTCTCTGGAGAAGAGGTTCTGGACAATGTGGCGTACGCGCGCGCCTACAACTCGGATCACCAGCTGCAACTTCTCCAGCAGGCGTCTGCAATGATGTGCGAGACGCGATTCTCGCTCCTCATTGTCGACAGCGCGACTGCTCTGTACAGAACCGATTTCTTGGGCCGTGGCGAGTTGTCGTCCAGACAGACTCACCTTGCGAAATTTATGCGCACCCTGCAGCGTCTTGCCGATGAATTTGGAATCGCTGTGGTCATCACCAACCAGGTCGTTGCGCAGGTTGACGGTGGACCGAGCGCCATGTTCAACCCTGACCCGAAGAAGCCCATTGGCGGTAACATTATCGCGCATGCCAGTACCACAAGAATCAGCTTGAGGAAGGGCCGTGGTGAGACTCGTGTCGCCAAGATTTATGACAGTCCTTGCCTGCCGGAGAGTGACTGTCTCTTCGCGATCAATGAGGATGGCATTGGAGACCCAAGTCCCAAAGACCTGGAGAAGGACTGAGTACTGTCTGTTTAGCAGTTGGCAGTTGTATTAGTATGGATCTGGGCCACGATTCGGTTACGCGCACATGAGTGAGGTTTTGTTAACTCCCCAGTTGGCAGGAGGTGGCATGCATGTTTGTTGGCGTTGGACGGCATATTGTTTTCCTGGAGTTGTGGTGATTCTGCTATTACTCGACAGGAGAGTATCGAGATGTACCATTTGCGAGGTAGACGAAATTTATGGCACAAAATACGTAAACAGAACAAAGTTCGAAGTCATTCTCGACGCGCAAGTATCCTATCGTGACATAAAGACTTTCATGGATATGTCCAAAAGGCGGACAAGCTTCAACGTTGCACTGTGCATTGACAAACCGCACTGTCCAACGACACTGTAAACAAGCTGATTGCTGTTTTGGGACTAGCCCCACCAACGCGCTTGGAGCCTGGCAAAGTGAAATTCCAACATCTCGAATCGCGACGAACTTTTGCTGCAGCATCAGATTGTTTGATGCGCCGAGCCCGACTCGCGACTCCAGCGGCCTCTTTCTTTCCCCCGAAGGTGTGAGAGGTTTTGATGAATTAGGTCCGCGCAAAGAAAGATGGATTCCGCAGACACGCAATACCTCTACCGAGAGACTCGTCTCAACCTCGAAGCGGCTTCTACGTCGTCTATCGTCAATATCCGCGTTCCCTCGCTGACATCCAACGGCAGAGGCGCAATCCGCAGACTGACCAACGGGAACAGCGGCAAGAATGTGAGCGAAGATGAGGTGGCTTTCCGACTGAAGAACCTCGCTGCTGCCTCGTCGGTCTACCACAGAAAATGGCACGATGCACCGCGCAGCTTCCTCTGGAGGTTGCTCGAGGACGGCTTGGTATTGAGCCTTCGTGTGGTCGATACCTGTCGCCAAGAAAAGGCGGCGGATGCGCCCCTTACGCTCAACTTCAGATTCTCGGTACCGATCCAACCGTCCTGCATCGCCTTCGCCGACCCCCGCGAACACGATGCGCTCTCGATGTTCGTCCTCGACGAGTCTAACTCTCTCTACACATTTACTCTACGACCCGATTTTTTCAGGAAGCGCTCCGCGATTGAGACTGGTCCAGGCGATGCTTGCAAGGCTTACCAGCCAAAGGTCTTCGGCCTGAAGCATCCGCACCGAATGGTCGCAGCAAGCACCGATCAGGTTGTCATTTCCCTCTACGATGGTGGCCTTGTGAGGCTCGATAAGAACAAGGCTCAAGACTGTATGTGCCACCCATTGTGCTGTTGATATTCCTCATCCTGACATCCTACAGCCGCCAGCAACCCGTGGAAAGAGACGATCTATAACTCCCAAGGTTGGGCGCAGGGAATCCGCAACTTCCTCCCTTTCAAGCAGAACAACTCTATTCGATACCACAACATGTCCATGGACGCCAGCGCGGCCACATCGATACAGGTCACGGATCTGGGCTTGGATGATGCTGCCTTCCTGTTTACTGTCTGCCTCGACCACCGCATGCGGATTTGGAACTTGCGGACCGGACAAATCCTTTTCACCGGAGACATCCTGAACGCTGACCGCAACCCTCAAGAGATGGGCAAGTGGCAGATTGATCCATCTCAATCAAATCTGCTGCAGCTCGTTGGCGATGGTGCCGGTAAGAGGATGTGTGCTACCTATTCGCCTATCGGTGCCGGAGAGTTCAAGTTCTGGAATATCAAGGCTCATGATACCGAGACCGTCTACGTAGAGGATGCATTCCCTGAGACACACTTGGTCCCGTCTTCACCGTCATTGTCGGATGTCTGGACCCTCGCAGATTTCGTTCTTTCCAGCCCGTCGGATGGTGGTGTTCAGTTGTGGACGTTGTGGAAGAATAACATGACCTACCGGGTCCAGGAGTTGGAGCTCGATATGGACAATATTGGAGATTCTTGGGAGACTGAGTGGAACTCCGTGCACATCGATACGACATATCCAGCAGCGCAGGTCTCGGGCCCGTCCGACCCAACAGATACAACTGAGAAATGGCTGGAGCTGATCTTGGCACCTGGCCGTTTCACAAGAGCTACCTTGGAGACGGCCCTTTCAATCTACGAAAAGGGGCTGGGAGCCCAAAAAGACAGCGGATCGAGGGGACAAAGGGGCTTGGCGGAGTCTATCTGTTCCGTTCTCGCTTCTACAGCATCTCTGGATCGCAACTCAGCCGGTGGCATGGACTATGAGCAATTCCGTGCGAGCAGCGAAATCCAGTGGCGAAGATTCTACAGACTGCTGATCGAGCTAGACAAGCAGCGTGGCGAGGCGGTCTCTCTGATTCTCGATTCAGACACACATATGACCTGGGTAGTTTGTGCCGATGCTGTGTCTGCCATCAGAGAATGCAGCTCACTCGAACGATTATACTATAACCTTTCGCGCCCAGACGAAGGATCAGAGCGGACAGCGACTCTAATTTCCACGGGAATCAACTTTGTTGACACAATTTCTGACAATATCCTGCAAGTCTGCAACGCGGCGCTGCGCCCTGAAATTTTTGAGGAGACGCCGAGGACGGATTACGAGCGGATTCAGTACATGTTCGACACCACCGCCATGTGGCGAAGTGTAAGCGAGGAGGATTGCGCGCAGGTCATTGAAAGCCTGGGGCAAAACTACAGCGGTGTGACGATGGAGCTGTACAACAGCCTCGCTGCCTTGATCGCCGCCAGCGTAGAGTCAGGAAGCCGCAAGACCCGGCAGCCTCTCACTGACTTTGGAAGAAAACTGATTGTCAAAGCTGTTCAGGAAACAATCGAGCTCCAGTGGAAGGTTGTCTTCAGTCAGATCTTACTATTGGTTCACATGGAATTCGACTGGGAGCAAGAGGAGGACATGCTATCCAAGCGATTCGATATTGGCAACGTGTTTCGCCAGTTGCTCGAGTCCCTCCGCAGGTTAGAGCTGCTTAGGTGGCTTTCCAAAACCGAGATCACAGTTCCTATTGGAAACAAGCACGAACGCAACGGCTCCTTCTCTGGCTCGCCAAGCGCCACCAAGCGATCTGGCGAGGAGACCCAAACCATCACCGCTTTGGAGGGCAATGTAGGACACCTCCTGGGCTTCGTCGATGGCAAGAATGAGCTTTTGGCCTCGAGCATCACAGATATTGTCAACGATTTGTGCGCATCAAACAGCGACATTGAGGTGTCACCTACCCTCATTCAATGCTCCTTGATCAGGAGAGAACGGGCCGATTTGGCCCTGGAGCTAAACCCCTTCTGCAGCCAAACGCCTTTCGCCATTTATATCCAGGGCCGAGTCTCCCTTGCCCTCAAAGATTTTGCATCAGCCGCTATTCATTTCCGCAAGGCGGCCATTGGAATGAGTACGCTTGCGGCGTTCTTCTTACCTCGTTCTTTGCTGACATGTACGTTAGGTGTGAAGGATGTTGATGTCGACCGCCATAGCAGTGGTCTCCTGGACGACACGGAATGGAACCTGCTCAACAAGGGCCCTGCCCGTTATTATTGTCACACCGTGGCCCTGTTTGAGAAGGCCAAGGCGTACTCTTACGTTATCGAGTTTGCCGGTCTGGCTATTCAGTACTCTCACGCCAGCCCCGAAGCTGCATTAGTGCGAAGCGAGATGCTTAGTCGCCAGTTCAACGCAGCCACAGTGCTCTCGCGCTTCGATGTTGCTCACGCCAGCCTACTTGCCATGAAGGACAAGGCAATGCAGCACTCGTCCCTGCGCAAGCTGGTGGACAAGATGTGCGAATCTTATCACAACAAGGAACTAATGTCGCTACCCTTCCCTGGGCTGTCAGACTCCATCGATGAGATTTTGTCCCAGAGATGCAAGTCGACGATGGATGTACTGAGCGGCATCCCTTACCACCAAATACTCTACTCCTGGAGGATCAAGCACAACGACTATCGTGGCGCGGCCACGGTCTTATTGGATCGCATTCAGAAGCTGCAGTTCGCCGGCGAGGGTGACAAGTTCATTGGGGAGGACATCCTGGACACACCCGTAACGAAGCAGTACCTGCTGCTCATCAACGCCTTGAGCTGCGTTGACCCGAAGCAAGCTTGGATCTTCTCAGAGGAATTGCCGCCTCCCAACTCGAGGGACGCCAACTTCCAAGGCAAGCGCAAGGTCGTCACGCTGCCAGACTTACGCAAACAGTACCAGGACGAGCTGGACAGAATCGCTGCCATCCAGAACAACCAGTTCGGATTCGAGGCGGACGACGCTATGGACATTTTGTAAATGGATGAATGACAAAAGGCAGACGCACAAGGCACGGCGATGGCGGCAGAGAGCATGTACAAATAACCAGAATCTTTCCGGATAAGAAGGCTTCGGATACAGCAGATACCTCACGAATTGCATGGATTGGGCTTTGGTATTTTCGATGGAAGAGAAATAATTTCATTTTTCGTATCAGTCAGACCCAGCTTCTTTACCCCAAACGCCGTGACATATGCTAAAAGTGCGTGACCACCGCCGGTTATTATCATACTTGCAGCATTGCAACACAGCTCTACGCTTGCGAGGGCTGTGGCATCAGCTTGGGGTTCTCGGGGGCAGCAGCCATGATCATAGTTTGACCTTGGGCTGCGTCCGGTGCTTGGCGGTAGAGAATGATTTCGGACTGTTTGAAATATCTTCGAGCATCTTCCAGAGGTTAGCAGAGGATTGGCCTGCTGCAGAATGCGCGCGGTTTCCTTACCTTCGTCAATGAGAACCAAGCTGAGGTAGTACCTGGTCGAAAACTTCTTGTTTACATCCCGGAATGTAGGGGTCAAGTCGAAGCCTCCAAGGAAGAGACGAATAGGGATAGTCTCTCCTCTGGACGGGGATCCGTCCATGATCTGCAAGCAACAGTCAACATCTATCCGCATATCTTGGAAATGGAGCCGCTCACCTCGAAGCGCACCAAGGTCTCACTTTCGTTGTACTGGTTCGGCGCTGCGCCCGTCGTCTCTCTCCTGATAATGGACAGTTCCATATGTTTGATCTTGAGTCGGACGAGAAGGAAGTATATGCGGCCAACAATGACGTCCTTAAGATGGTACTTGCTCTTGGAGTACTCAAACTCAATGTGCAGACAGTCCTCAATGCCGACGTCCATTTTGATGGATGAGTTCATCTCAGGGGGTATGCGGTACGAATAGACCCAGATATCCTTCTCGCGGATGACGTCGGCCATGCGGCGAGAGACCGTGACGCGGACGAAGTAGCGGAGCTTGACATTGATGCCATTGTACGACTCATACTGCTTCTCGACGTTTTTGAAGTTAAAGTCGAAGGTTTGAGGGTGCTGCAGCTCGCCTGGCGCCGCGAGCTCCTGGACGAGGGAGAGGAATTCGTAATGGTTACCACGGTCGAAGAACATTTCTATCGAAGAGATGTGAGTTTCGAATGTTCCAATGACGCGCAAACATGCGCAATCAGCAGAATCACCAGTTACATACCTATCGTGCCGATGAATTGGACCTTGATGCCGGTATGCTCTAGTCGCTTGCCGTCCTTGGGTCTGATGGTCACGGCGCCCTTGACAGACTCGCCGTCCATGTACAAAGGCGCTTTCTCGCGCCTGTTCTTGTCGAGCTTGACATCGACCATGGACCGCTCGTCGGCGTCCTCTAGCACGATGTCGATGTCGACGGGGGTCGAGAAGAAGTACGACATCTTGGCTTCGGTGGTTACCCGGATCCCGCGCGATTACTCCGTTTCGGGGATGCCTGATGGCTGAGATATATGCGGGCAAGCCAATTGTGGTGACCTCCTGCTCGGATCGGTTTCGTGGTTGATATGGCCGGGGCGATCGAACTCGGTGGTGGTCTTGGAGGAATAGCGTTGCTGACGTACGTGCATTCAATGTCGCTTGGTATTACTTGATGCTGCTGCTGCTGCTGCTGCTGCTATTGCGCTGACCCATCCAGCTATCGGAGGTGGGCTGGGAGGAGCTCCCGGACGTAGCCTCTCTCATTGGACAGATGCCACACGTGACAGTGCCAGGCAGTCAACATTGCTAGAGAGACTAGTCTGGTCAAGATGTGGCTGAAGCTGGCCGGCTGCCCCACCAAAGGAACGCAATGTGGCGTCGCCTCATAGTCCAAGCTGCACTCTTTACGTTGACGCTCGAGCCAGGTAAGTTGGGGAAGTCGCTCCCACTCGACTCACGTGCATGCGAGCCCTACCTTCCGAAAATAATCCCACAGCGAAATTCGACTTACGCCCGGCAAACTCTTTGGAGATCCGACCCTCAACGCCCAACGATACCCTCACAAACCAGTCGCCAATCGCCCAGCCGACAACCCTCCCCGACGTCAAGATGAAGTACATTCACTCCCAGGAGTCCCTTGACATCCCCCAGGATGGTATGTGAACACCGTTGTCGTTGTCGTCGACAGAACGACTCCCGAGAAAAAGCCACGCAAACAAATACACAACCGTCGAACTCCACGGCCAACATGTGCGGCCCTGCGAGCTCCGCCGGATTCTGAAATTTGGGACACGAAACACTCTCTCCGCATCCGATTATTCTATCTCTACGTCTCTTCAATGCCGGCCATGCTCTGCGCTCGTGCGCTGGGGACATGCGACGTCAGGAAGAGCGATAATGGGATCGGCGGGGCGGAGAGTGTGTTTGGGTTGAAAAGTTTTAGACTGTGGATGAGCTCGAAAGGAGCAGTAGTGGCAGGCAATTGAATGCATGCTGACTTGGATTCTCCAACAGTCAAGGTTCACATCAAGTCCCGCGTCGTCACCGTCGAGGGCCCCCGTGGTAAGTCTTACACATGCGTCTTTTTCACCCTCTTTCGCGTTGTTGGCCAGCCACAGAGCAGCCGAAGTGATTCCGTCACGCAGCTAGAGAGGGTATCTGTCTTCTTGAGGAAGCCATGGGCTGACCAGATCAACAGGCAAGCTGGTGAAGGATCTCAGCCACTTGGCTGTCAACTTCTCCCAGCCCCAGAAGGGCACCATCAACATTGAGATCCACCACGGCTCAAGAAAGAACGTTGCCACTCTCCGCACCGTCCGCACCCTCATCAACAACCTGGTTGTCGGTGTCACCAAGGGCTACAAGTACAAGATGCGCTACGTCTACGCCCATTTCCCCATCAACGTCAACGTTGAGAAGAACTCCGAGACTGGCCTGTACGAGGTTGAGATCCGGTATGTATCAATGCATCCTTTCATATAGGCATTGTCGTACTGACTCTCAATTAGCAACTTCATTGGTGAGAAGCTCGTCCGCCGCGTTGTGATGCGCGCCGGTGTCGACGTCGAGGTCTCCAAGGCCCAGAAGGATGAGCTCGTCCTCTCTGGCAACTCTCTCGAGGCCGTCTCCCAGTCTGCTGCCGACATCCAGCAGATCTGCAAGGTCCGCAACAAGGATATCCGTAAGGTATGTTGTAACTTGTGTTGAACCCTCGGAAACCCCAGCATGCTAAAACTGATCTAGTTCCTTGACGGTATGTACGTCTCTGAGAAGGGCAACATTGTCGAGGACCAGTAAACGCGACATTATCACGGAATGTGTGATGGTCTAGTGTTTTCGAGGCCCTCGGTCTCTGCGGGGAATAAAAAACTTCTGGGTTCTGGTCTGGGTTCTTATGACAAGGAGTGGCCGGGGTTCAATCATTTGCAGGCACAGCATAGCACCCAAAAAGATGGTGTCGTGTGAGTGTAGCACAGGGCTATACCATCAAAAAGCAAGAAGACGCACCAGCTCGTTTATGAGCGGTTTACTCAAATACTGCCTGTCTAAAGTCTATATGCATGAAACGAATTGGCGTTTATTGGTGAAATGATACCTCTTCAAAAGCCTCATACCCTTCCCTCGCTTCGTATCTGGTGCTTGGTGACGAGGATGTTTTCTGTGCGAGCACAGGCTGACTGGACTGACTGGACCACGAAGAGTTCGTTCGGCATTCGCCAGAGGCTAGGCGATGCGGGAAAGCATTCCGCTCTTTTGCAGGACAAACGTTATCGCAGACTTTGGCCCGAGTTTCGTATGTTCATCTGAACATGGCTTCCAAACTCAAGTTCAAAGCAAACATTGTGGCCTTTGCAAAAAGTTCAAAGTCAATTCAGTATGACGGAATCCTTTCGTCTGATGCATTACGGTGGCTTGTCAGCTTACGAGCTTACCACCAAAAGTTTCGTCTATAACACTAAAATCGTTCTGACATCGTACATGCTATGCTGGGGCTATGTGTGTGTGGTATGGAAGCACGCCAAGAAAAACTTCGGAATCGCTCGAAAGGAGAGGGCCGCCATGTCCAAGAGATCTTCTCTCACACCCCTTTTCGTCGTCGTCTTCATCTCCTTCGTCTCCAAACCCATCATTCCACCCAGTTTCGTCGTAATCGTTCCAATCTCGCGTTCGTCTCTGAAATCAGCATTCCTCTTCGTCGCCGAATGTTTCATCTCTCATGCTGTGGTGTTGTTGTCTTGTGCCCTTCCGGTGTCACACTCAACAACCTAAAGCCAAATTATGATTTGTTCCCCCTTAAACGCCGGTTGAAAGTAGAGAAATAATACCAATTTATGTACGTCCGAAGCATGTTCAAGCCTCAAAAAAAAAAACCGGTCAAAGAGACATCCGAAAGCACATGCATCTTGGCGAGTCTCGAGAAGAACTCAGTTTTCTACCGCCGTGAGTGCCGCGTAGTGCGGGTGCCACGCGTGTGACCCGTTCGGTGAGTTCTTCCCCCAGAGCTCGAACTGCCTAGGTAGGAGGTCAGATTCGATCTAGTCCGAGAATCCCATGAAGACTCACTGGGACTTGTCCCCGTGTAGGAGTAATACGAGTCGGTGTATGTTGATCGCTCGGGCTTGCGTGCGGGTTTGTCCTTCTTCATGTTCAACAGAGCCGCCATGGTTGCGGCCGCGGCGCCGAGACCCAACCACTTGGCGCCCTCCTTCTTCTCTTCCTTGCGACGAGAGGCAGATGCGGGGCGGCCCCCGCCGAACCAACCGCCGTGAGATGGGCGATGAGAGTGAGCCGAAGGCATGCGGCTGCCATGACGCGAATATCTCTCTTCGACAACCTCGACACGCTCGCGACTGCGTTCCTTCTTCTTGCCACCAAAGATGAGGCCCCAGAGACCACGGGCAATGCAGCAGAAGCAGAGCAGCATGAGCAGGCCGAGACCAGCGAGCGTGCCGATGACGATGCCCGCAATGGCGCCGCCGCTCAAGCCACCGCCAGTACCTTCATCGGCGATTGGTACCGCGGTTCCGGTTCCCGTTGCCGTCTGGGATGCGAACGTGCCAGTGGCCCCGGTGCTGGTGACCCTGTAAGGAGCAGAGAACTGTGTCGTGATAGGAACGCCGTTAGAGGTGATTGTTGTGATGTCCCAGCCCTTCTGGGCGCATTGGCCAGAGTAGGCGCAGTACTGGTTAGAGGCACAGCAAATGCTGCCGCACGCCGTCTCTCCGTCGTTCTGAGGAACGCAAGTCGCGCCGGTGCTGCCTCCTCCCGACGCCTTTGTCGTCTCGGGCCAATTGGTGGTGACTGTGCTCGTGAAAGTGTTCGTCTCTGTCCATGTTGTAGTGTAGATGCCATAGCCTCCGCCGCCATTGACTGTGCTACAGCCAGCAATATTGTTGACGGTGTAGCACTGCTCGCCAGAGCCGCAGCAGTACTGAGAATCAGCGCCACATCGCTGGACACAGTCGCGTTTCATGAACTTGTCACCAAGCTCGTAAAAGAGGTTGTTGGCGATGTTTTGCAAAGGATACGGATGAGCGAGAATCGGAGTGGGGGCGGAGGCCAAAAGAACAAGGCCGGCGGCGACCCAAGAGACCGCGCCCGATTGCTTGTTCCGGCCCATTCTGACGGAAGGCGCAGCGCGGCGTGGTCGTGGGCCAGGAATGTGAAGAGCCGGAGAAAAAAAACGGCAGGATGAAAAACTGGCAAATCGCGGCCGACGTTTGCAGCGGGATGTGTCGCGGAGCTTGTCTTGTCTCGTCGCCGCGAGGGCTACGGTGGATGGGTGTGTAGGTAGGCAAGCAGGAGGAATGATCAAGAGAAATAATGAGGTATTAATGGCTGGGTAAAGAAGAGCGTGGAATGTGAGAAGAGCGAGTGAGCTGGCCGGCCTAGTCTGTTAGTGTGCAGACCGCAAAGTGTAAGCCAGCAGCTGCTGTATTATCGACAGGGTCGCTCTCGACGGTTGCAATGTTTTTGAAAGTTTTGCTAAAGGGGAAAAGACCAAGAAATCGGGAAAAGAACGAAACCTGCAGGCAAGGTGACTTTAAGAGAGGGTAGCGGACAAACTGAAGCGTAGTATTACTTGGTTTGGGCAGAGAGTCTTTTTTTCGCGGGATTCCCAACCTCCTCTCTTGGGGCCAAGTCCAACCTCTTCGATTTTCCGCTGCTGTCACCACACCCGCATCCACACTGACACTGACACTGGCACCCACAATACTACCCTCGAATGATACGAAATGTCGCAGGGATCTGGTCTCACCGATTAGCTGTCCAGTCTGCAGTCTGCAGCGCAGGGCGGAGGCTCTGGAGCAAGGCTTCTCTGCGTCTCTCTCTCTCTTGCTCCCTTGTGATTGCTCGATTTCGTCGCAGCTGCTGGCAGACGAATTCTGGCGCTGTTCCTGAAGATCGGGCACCGGGAGGTGAGTCTTGAATTGAAAAGGCGAGGGTATTAAAGTGGTTCCATGGCGCTGGTGCGGGGAGATGCCTGTGTGAGCTGGCAAACGAATGGCCTTCACTTTTGTGACTGGTCCGGCTCAGAGCGCCTGGCCTCCACTGTTTACCTGCAGGGGTCGATCCGTCCACTGGGCGACGACGATGGGGACGGGGGACGCTGGGCAATCGATAGGAAAAGAGCGCAGGAGAAAGAGGTGACGACGGGAGCCAGTTCCAACTTCCCGTCCGGCGCCCTGTGTTTCCCTGCTTCAGCGGCGTGTTCCCTGCCTTTTCTCACCCTTACACCGAGTTAAGTTGCACCTTCCTTCCTTGGCAGCACTCTTCTCTGTAGAATCGGGCGATGTAAGCTTGCTCATTCGCTGCCACCAGTTCAGACGTCTTAATGTGAGGCATCGCCTGCTTCGCGAAAGAGATATGCTGCGGCGTGGCACGCTCTCCCGCCTTGCTGTCACTACCTTACAGCACCAAGCCTCTAGGCCATCAGCCGTGCAAACAGCATCTGTGAGGCGCATAAGGCAGGCGAGGCAGATGGCGGTGCAGTGACAGCCGCTACAATTACCTTGTCGCTGTAGTTGTGACATCGCATTGACATCTCACTAGCCGACTGTCCGTGGGCTCCGGATTGCGCAAGGCCGACGGGATGTGTTGTACGGCGCATCGTCTACGCGAGCACTCCCACTTCGAATCGACGTATCTGTATGTTCCTGGCTAGAGCCGCCCCCCGCGTTATCCTGGGACCGCCTCTAGAGAGGTCTCCTGCATGGCGTGGGCCATTCCAATCATGGGGAAACTGTGCAGCGCATGCCGATTTGATGAAGTTGACTGTGACAGCGGAGGAGTGCTGCCCCTGAATAAAATTGGGAGGCTGGAAGTCGGGGCAGACTACATCATGGTTGCTATTTGGAGCCTGGAGGTGTGAAGAGGCACACAGGCGAGAAGCCAAGCTCCGTGTGAGTGGACAGGCTGGGTACGACCGAACAGAGGTCTCCAAGGTGGATGGTGCACCGCCGCACCTGCCCCAGCTGCTGGCTTCCCATGGAGCTGTATGACTGGCCACTTGTAAGCTTTGGTGGATTCTAGGAAGCTCTCATCTGTGGCTGACTTAGAACTGGACCTCGAGCCAATCAAGCGCGGTCGCTGACGCTGTGACTTGCAGCAGGGAAAGTGCACCCAAAAGTGGGCGTGCGCGGCTGCGGCTGCGGCTCGAGTGTGCTTGCTACGTTCATCAGACAGCTCCCACCTGCGACGACTACCTATCGAAGCTCGCCGATTCCATCTACGCAGTTCATCCTCAACTCCCTCGGCGACGCACCTCCATCCATTTAGAAGCCGCCAGGGTCGCTCTCTCTCACCCACCGCCCCAAATGTCGCTCGATCCTCCCACGTACCTGGCCTCGCTGCAAAGCAACATTCGCCAGCGGCCAATCCCCTGGGATGGCGCTGTTAGGGCAGGCACCATCACCGAGGACCACCTGGCCCGCATCCGCGCCGTCGACAAGGCGAAGAAGCCCGAGGCAAGGAAGGACATTGTAGAAGGCGATCTCGATGGCTACCGCTCACTCTTTGTTGGGGAGCCCGGCAAGCCCAGCGTGCTGGAGTCTGCTGGAAAGCAGGCGAACGTCGTTCAATTCGTCCTCGTCCTGCTAGCCGACCTTTTGCCTAGTACGTCATGCGCAACTGTTCCCTATCAAGCCATCTTCCTAGCAACCAACTCCTCTGCCCTAAGAATCGTATGCTCCGAGATTGATTGCGGCGCTTTAATCTTCATATCACGCGGACAACATCGAATCTGAGCTAACCTGATCGACCTCGTTTCACAGGCGTACCGTCACTCGCAAAGGCTCTTATTAAGAATACAGACCCCTACAAACACTTTCTACCGTTGCTCGCGCACTCCAACAATACCGAGGACCCGATCCCGTTGCTCACGTCGACTGCTCTGACCAAGCTGATGTCTCTCGCGCTCGACGAATCCCAGGCGACACGCAACGCCATTCCCGTCCTGCTCACATATCTCTCGGGCCTTGCCAAGAGTTCCGATGCGGGTCTTCAAGATATCGCAGTCCAGGAGTATTCCTCGCTACTTTTCGGACATGTGTCGCGGCAACAGTTCTGGAACCAAAGAAGCGAGACAATTTCTCCTCTGATCGACATCCTTAAGACTGCTGCGGGCATTGGAAGCAACGGCAGTTCTTCCGCAAGCATATGGAGTGGCAATGCTCCTTCGAGATCCACCGGCTTTGAGGGTTCGCTCGGTGGCGGAGTTGGGCTTCAGCTATTATATCATGTTCTGTTGGTTGTCTGGCAACTGAGCTTTGAGGCTGAGGACATTGGTGACGACCTGAACGAGTACGGTGCCCGGGAAATCCATGACTATCTCTAAGCTAACGGTTGGCAGCGAGTACGACATCGTCTTGTTGTACACTCAGCTTCTTCGCCTGTCTCCGAAGGAGAAGACAACACGTTTGATTGTGTCGACCCTTTACAATTTGCTCGAAAAGAACCAGAAATCACTCCTCCCTACCGCAGTGCTTGCAAGGCTGCCTGCACTCCTCGATAATCTCAGCGGCCGTCACTTGACCGACCCCGACCTCTTGGAAGATCTCCAAAAATTAAAGGAGCTTCTTGAGGAGTATACCAAGACGAAGACTACCTTTGACGAATACGTTGCAGAAGTTGAATCTGGCCATCTTCGGTGGTCCCCGCCTCACAGAAGCCAGGTTTTCTGGACCGAGAATGCGCGCAAGATTCTCGAGCATGAGAACGGGCAAGTCCCCCGCAAACTTGCCGATATCATGAAGAGGCCATGGGACAACGACAAGCAGGTGTTGGCCATTGCTTGCAATGATGTCGGAGCTTTGGTCAAGGAGGTTCCGGAAAAGAGGTACCAGCTGGAGAAGCTCGGCCTGAAGACCAGGGTCATGGAGCTCATGGGGGACGCAGACGAACACGTTCGGTGGGAGAGCTTGAAGGCGTTGGGAGGCTGGTTGAAGTACAGCTTTGACGGCTAAACATGGTTCCAGCACAACTGGGACCATGGGCCAAAGCACGTGTAAGTATAAATGGATGGGCGGGCAGCATTATCCAGGCAGTTAGAGTGGATCAGGAGTCATTTCGAGTGTGCCGTGCTTTTATTTCTCGCAGCCCGACTGCTGCCAGCCGCCGTGCCGACGGTCTCGGCCGAGAAAGTGATGTGCTTCTTCTTTGCCCCTGCATCACGCCACGAGGTTGACAGCACACCACGCGACGGCGTGTAGTAATTTAAACAGAGCATTATGACGATGTACCAAGACTTGATGATGATGGTGATTTTCGTTATTATCGGCAGGGGTGACGGTGCTGGTGGTGCGTATGTGTGTGTGTGTGTGGCCTTCCTTCGCCTTTCGCCAGTCGCTTTTCCTGTTTTCCGCATCGTGAGATTTGTGTGTGGGGGTCAGTTGCGCACCTGATGAGCAAAATCCGCCCGGCGGATTATGGCCCGAGTGGCCCAGCATGACATTTTCCCAACGTCAAGACTTTGCCGACTTGGCCCCGTCTGGGACCCCGTCCGGCCCCCGTCTCGCGGCCTTTGCCAGCCCAATGGGAGGGATCAGTGGAGCTATTCTAAGGCAGAGCTCCTCGCGTGCTCCTGTAACTCCGATGGGACCCCGCGGCGTTATGTACTCCGGACCTTATCATACGGGCGGTACGTGCCCCGGCGGGTCGACCACCCCACCGCGTAGTGGACGTCAACCCCTCAATAATTAGCGGTTCTAGATTCTAGAATGTGGGAACAACCCAGCGAAACCACGGTGACCCAGGCTCTGCCCCGCTAAAAGAGCTGACCTGAGTTCAGGGTCCATACCTTACCATAGCTTCCGAGGGTCGCATGTTCCGTCGCAGCTTTCAGTGAACCCTCCCGCCCTCAACAGAACCTTCACGAAAACACACCCGCTCAAAAATACACATAATCCGTCCACACCGCTCCCTCCTCGGCCGTCTGCTTTCTTCCAAATCACATACACACACGACCATCCAACATACACAAACAAGATGGCGCCCAAAGCTATTGTTGCACCCTCGATCCTGGCGGCCGACTTTGCCGACCTCGGCGCATGCTGCTCGCGCACAATTTCTCAAGGAGCCGACTGGCTTCATGTTGACATTATGTAAACACACCCCGCCAGAACCAAACCAGCCGAGGGCGTCGCGAGATCCAAAATACCAGACGCACGTCTGTCTTCGAACGACGCTCGAGAGCTTCAGGTCCGACAGAGCTGATCTGTGCCACAGGGATGGACACTTCGTGCCCAACATCACGTTTGGGCCGGGTGTCGTGAGCAAGATCCGCGGCCATGTCACCAAGCCCTCTGAGAAGGACGGCAAGGGAACCTTCGATTGCCACATGATGATCTCAGAAGTGAGTCTCAAGTCAAGCTTTGATGTTGACAATGGTCACCAGGCGGCCAAAATACTGCAGCAGTCAACTAACGAGCTATGATTCCCTCCAGCCCAAGAAGTGGGTTAAGGAGTTCAAGGACGCCGGCTGCGATCTTTACTGCTTCCACTACGAAGCCGCCTTCTCCTCCAACGCCGAGAGGCCCGAGGACAAATCCGACGAGACGACGAATCCCAAGGCTCTGATCCGCTACATTCACGAGCAAGGTCTTCATGCTGGTATCGCGATCAAGCCTGCAACGCCTGTTGACGTTCTCTGGGATATTCTTGAGAGCGAGGACCCTCTCGAGAGACCCGAAGTGAGTTTCCTTTGGTCCCGCCGATGCGCATGTTACACGACATGGGTTCTCCGTTCAGGTCGATACTAACTCGTCAAACCACAGATGGTCCTCGTCATGACGGTCGAGCCTGGCTTCGGCGGGCAAAAGTTTATGGCCTCTGAGCTGCCCAAGGTTCAAGCCCTGCGCGAAAAGTACCCAGACCTCAACATTGAGGTCGATGGTGGTCTCGGAGCCGGCACCATTGACCAGGCAGCCGATGCTGGTGCGAACGTCATTGTGGCAGGTAGCGCTGTGTTTGGCGCAAAGGACCCGTCAGAGGTCATTTCGATGTTGAAGTCGGCCGTGGAGAAGAGGATTGGCAAGCTCTGAAAATGGCATGTGGCGGGCTACCAGATGATGTTTATGACTTTGATGTGTGCGCTTCTTTTGTTGGTTGATTTATATTTGCGCGGGGACAAAAAGGAAGCAAGCCATGCGTTTTTATGTTCGGTACATATTACAACTAAGTCGGACAACGCGCTCCCCTAGTGGAAATGCATTGGTCTTCTTAATCCTAATTATATACAACTAGACAATTTTTTTTCTTTCACTTCTTTTGCGCCAGCGCTTTGTCCAAGGCGGCAACGAAGCTCTTGATTTCTTCCACTATAACGGCGTCAGCTCTGATTCTGCAGTAAGAGAACATTGGCGAAGACTTACAGCTGTTGTAATGGACCATACTGACCCTGACGATACCATCCGATGGATCTAGACCAAGCACATCTTTCAATAGACGATAAGAGTAGAAGTGGCCCCATCTGAAACCAAAGTCTGTTTCCTTCTCGACGGTCTCGACCAACTCTCGCGCGCCCCAGTTCTTCACTCTGAAGCTGATCGTTGGGACACGGCGCTCGGTGCCTGCATCTGACTCGCCATAGATGGTGACATCCCCCCGGCCGTTGAGATACTCTAGGAGGGTCGACTGAAGCTGCCTTTCCTGCTCAATCTTCCCCTTCCAGCCGTCCGAATTCGGCGTACCGAGATACTCTAGAACCTTCGGCACGGCGGAAACCAGCTCGTAGCTGCCACCCGCCAAACCTAGCTTGCCCTCGAGCGTATCGCCCTGGTTGAAGAAGTGTCCCAACGACCGCATGTGGGTATTCTGCGCCTTGCGACTGGCGTACAACATGGCCGTGTGCGGGCCGTAGACCTTGTACCAGGAGAAGGCGTAAAAGTCAACACCGAGGGCCTTGACATCGATGGGCCGGTGCGGAGCATACGCCACGCCGTCGACGCAGACGAGACCCCTTGGCGTGCTTTCGTGGACCAAGGATGCGATGGCACCCACATCGTGGATTGTGCCGAGAATGTTGCTCGCATGGGTGCAGGTTACCAGGCGAGTCTTGTCTGAGAGCAGAGGCTTGAGATTGTCAACAGTGAGCTTGGGGTTGGGCGAGTTGTCTGGCTTCCACCACTTGAGAACCAGATCCTGGTGGGCGGCGAGATCGACCCAGGATGCAATGTTGGCCTCGTGATCAACTCCGGAGACGACGATCTCATCGCCTTTGCTGAAGGAGAAGGTGTGAGAGAGGTTCCTGAACAGCTGAGTGGTCGAAGCGCCGAAGACTGCTTGGTCAGTTGAGATACAAAGGGTGGGATTGGACATTGTTACCAATTTCATCGGGGGATGCATTAATGTACTTAGCCCCGGCCTGGTAGCCGTCACCGTAGAGAGCAGTGGAGCGCTGGCCAACTTTGTATGAGGCTCCTAGCTGAACATTGGTCTGAGAGAGATAGTCGCGGATCCTGCGTCGCGTCAGTGGGTTGCGTGTATGGCGGCTACAGGGTTCAAGAACGTACGAGTCTATGACAGTCCCAAGAGTCTGACTGCCACCGGCGTTATCAAAGAAGACTTGGTCCTGGCCGAGGGCAGGGAACTTGGCTCTCGTGGCCGCGATGTCGATTTGTGCAGACATTGTCATGTTCGACTTCCAAAGCCTAGTTTTGTGTCCAGAGGATTAGAACAATAAGTTCTTGCAATGAGGTGTTTGTAAAGTAGAGGAGTTGCTGTGCGTGAGAGATAAGACGTTGGATGGATGACTCGGACTCGACAAGTTTAGCTCTTCAAGAATGGGACACTTGCAGTAGCTCTATCGGATTACAAGCGGGGTTGAGCTGTCTTTGTAATTGAAGCAAGCACGCGGAGAAGCTGGGTCAAGATGCCGGCGAACTGCCCAATCGAGACACTAATGACCAAGAAGACGCACCTGGAGCCGCAATCGACGCCAATGAATGGGGATGCATGACACCAAGAGGACGGGCGGCGGGGTACTGAGGGACGCGGGGGTCCATCGGCGGTTGGCAACGGCTCGCCGATGGGTCCGCTGCGGTCTTCAAAGCGCGGGCTCCGTCCCAACCCCGCGTGCTCGGAGGCCACACCATACTCACGCTGGCTGAAGTTGGCCGGCTCTTCCTGATGCGATAGTCCTTCTCAGCCTGTTTTGAACTCCCCAGCGCCTAAGAGTAGTATGTTGCAGGCGACGGCATTGGCTACTTACTCACAAGTCAAGGCTGGCGGTTCGCATTGTTACTCGACAACGAAGCACCCGGCGCTTGGGGTGTTATGCAAGTTCCTGGAAACATTTGAATGGAAACAAGATCCCCCTCAAATGTGCGTCTCGTCTGCGCTTATCTGCATTGCCAATTGTGTGACCGGGTCGCATTTCACCCTTCTTCGTTGAGAAGACTCTGACCACCAGACTGAGCAGCGGTGTAATTAAGAAACCTAGCAGGGCGCACCCAACGTCACGGTGGTGGACGGGAGGGCGCATTGCGGTGCTCTGCAGGGGCCAACGCCGAGCCATGGGACGATTTGCCGCGAAAACAGCTGCTAGAATGGGCAACAAAAAAAACTTTATGTGGGACCTCAGCCCACGTCCGATCGAAGCTCTCGACCCAGATATGGTCTGGGAGGTTGCCAACAATTTTTTTTTTTATCTCTCCTCCTCCGCGCACAGCAACACCTCCCTTCCCTCACAGATCCATTGATTTCCCATAATGAAGCGCAAGGCTGAATCGCGGATTGACGACAAGAAGAAGTCCAAGAAGAAGTCCAAGACGAGTGAGCGAACCAGCACCTTTCTGTCAAGAAATGACGTCGCACTAACAACGAGTCCTACAACAGCTCTCTCGGCCGACGTCGCAAAGTCACGATTCCGCAAGGGCCTCTTCGACTCCAACGTCCTCGAGTCCTACACCGACGAGTACGCCAAGTCGAGCCCGTACAAACACTCCGTAATCACCGGCCTTGTCGACGACAAGCTCCTGCGCTCCGTCCGCGACGAGATCCGCGAAAACGTCTCCTTCACCCCCAAAGAGACCGACATCTACAAGATCCACCAGTCTGGCGACCTCGCCAACCTCGACGGCCTCGACGATGAGGCTCTAGCCAAGCTCCCCTCTCTCCTCTCTCTGCGCGATGCCATCTACTCCGAGACTTTCCGCAACTATGTCTCCCACATCACAGGCTGCGGCCCATTGAGCGGTCGCAAGACCGACATGGCCATCAACGTTTACACACCTGGCTGCTACCTCCTCTGCCACGACGACGTGATTGGCAGCCGCAAGGTCAGCTATATCCTGTACCTCACCGACCCAGACAAGCCATGGAAGGCCGAGTGGGGCGGTGCTCTCCGTCTGTTCCCTGTCGACGAGCTGGAAGGCAAGGACGGCGAGGTTGCCAAGACGCCTGCGCCGGATCACACCAAGGTCATACCGCCGGCCTGGAACCAGCTTTCCTTTTTCGCCGTGCAGCCGGGTGAGTCCTTCCACGACGTCGAGGAGGTCTACCACGCCGAATCCAAGGCCCAGCTCGAGGAAGATGGTGGCCGCATCCGCATGGCCATCTCTGGCTGGTTCCACATCCCCCAGATTGGCGAGGACGGATATGTAGAGGGTGCCGAGGAGAAGCAGGTCAAGAACTCGGGTCTCATGCAGTTGCAGGGCAACCCTGACCAGCACGATACCCCGCGCCCGCGGCCCGTCAAGATCAACGAGCCCGGCTCGGATCTGGCAGCTGGCTTTGACGAGGCAGGCCTTGAGTTTTTACTCAGGTACATTAACCCACAGTACCTAACGCCGGACACGCTGGAACAGATCACAGAGCATTTTGAAGAGAATTCGAGCATCACGCTCTCCAACATTCTGTCAAAGAAGTTCAGTGCCCGGTTGAGGGAGTACATTGAGTCTCAGGAGAAGGCTGTGCTTCCAGAAGACAGCAGCAAGATCGAGAAGAGGTCGGCGTGGCGCGTCGCCCGTCCTCCGCACAAGCACCGCTATCTCTACCAACAGCCTGCAGGCGCTGACGAGCTACGCAGCTCGCAGGAGGAGAACCCCCTGACAGAGCTTCTCGATAACCTCCTCCCCTCGCGTCAGTTCCGCGAGTGGCTACAGGTTGCTACCGGCACGGTCGTTGAGAGCCACGAATTCCTCGCTCGTCGATTCCGTCACGGTCTGGATTACACGCTCGCTACAGGGCACGAGGGCAAGCCGCGTCTGGAGTTCAACCTCGGCATTACCCCGTCAAAGGGTTGGGGGGATGATGAAGAGGAGGAGGAGGAGAAGCAGGCTGGGGAGGAAGAGGTAGAGAAGTCCAATGGCAAGTCCAAGAAGGATAAAAAGGGCAAGGGGAAAGCTAAGGCCAAGGCCAAGCCGGAGCCTGAGCCGGAAGAGGAGCTTGAGGTTGGTGGTCACGAGGTCTATATGGCCGGCGACGATGGCGAGGAGGAAGAGGATGCGGCGATCTACAAGTCAAGCGGCGACGATGACAATATCCTCTTCTTCCAGGCTGCGGCGTGGAACAAGCTCACGCTGGTGCTTCGCGACAGCGGTACTCTGCGCTTCGTCAAGTACGTTGGACGTGCTGCCAAGGGCGATCGCTGGGATATCTCGGGTTCCATTGGCATCGACGCCGACGACCTCGAGGCTCAAATCAATGCCGAGTCCGATGACGAGGATTCGGAGGAGGACGAGTGGGACGGCTTCTCTGACCCTCCTGCCGGAGAGTCGAGCGAGAGCGACTAAATCATTCCCAATTGTAACGACATGTAAAAAGAAAACGACACTGCTTCCCCGTTTCCAGATTATGTAGGAATTTGCCGGTAGACCAAAAGTAATGAATGACAACATGGTTTCTGGATTCTTTCTACTCATTGCAACCCAAAGCTCGCAGAGCCATGCTACGGAAAAAGACAGCGCCAAAAAAAAAGCCGCCAATCAAACACGCCAGGTTGCAGCCATGTAAATGCTTCATTTTGCAAACGTGCGTATTGCTCGACTGAAAGAAGACGAACAGGAAAAAGACAAATTTCGCTACCCTTGATCATGCTCCCCGAACGCCCTCTTCATCTAATCATGCAAAAAGCAACCCGATAAACGACAATGCAGAATTTCAGCGATGCACCCCACAACGCTCTCTCTCTCTCCCTCTAGGCTTATTTCCGAATCTCTAAAATTTCTTCAGATCCTTCTCCGGCACCGTCCTGACGAAGGCATGCTTGAGGAAATGCAACCAAACCTTATTGTGCTTCTTTTTCTTCTTGCCGCCTTTCTTGCCCTTCTTTCCTTTCTTCTTCTTCTTCTTCTCCGTCTCTACGTCTTCGTCTACGTCGTCAGAATCATATTCTTCGTCATCGTTCTCCTCTATGTCTTCTTCGCTGTCGTCTTCAAAGTCTTCTGCAAGGACCTTGCCTTTGGCGCTCTCCTGACCGATGCGGTGAGCCAACTTGACGTAGCTCCGCACGGTCAGATCTGACAGGCCGTAGATCTTGTCCGTGAAGGTGCTGTACTCAACCTCGAACTCGAAGGGATTCGGCTTGGGCTTGCTGGACTTGGGATCCTTGTCTTTATGGATGCCGTCGCGCCACTTGCTGCCTGATGCGCCGTCGTCGTGCGTCATATCGTTGTTGATGTGGGTCAGGTTCGCAAAGTACTGGGTATACCCAAGGAACGTCAGGGGCTGAGGGTCGTAAGCCGGGCCTGGCCCTGTTCCTGCAGGTGGTGGCTCGGGAACGACCAGGTTGGGATCCTCGCCCATGTCCGGCTTCTTGTCTTTGCCCTTCTTTCCTTTCTTGCCCTTCTTCTTCTTCTTTGCAGCCTCCATATCACGCCTCAGTTCCTCGTGTATCGGATCATCGTCGATCGGCAGCTGGATCGCCGGCAGCGCATCGGTGAAGGAATCGGTCCAAACCGCCGCATTTTCAAGCCCAGAGATGTTGTACTCCATGACCCGAATGGTGGGGAAGTAGTTGGGCACAATGCTGGGTCCGATGAGGGAAAGATGGTATCGCTCGGCGTACTTACCGCCCAGGTCCTTGGACGGCTTCTTCTTGCCTTTCTTCTTCTTCTTCTTCTCTGGCTCCACGGCGTCGGCCTCATCGAGCAGGGCCTTGGACACGTTCGGAAGTTTCGACCAGCCTTCTCGCAACTCTTGGAGGTAGTCCGCTGCAGACTGAATTTCAAGTTCGTCCTCGAAAGCTTCTCGACCAACATCATCGTCAACGGCGAAGCCGCTGAGGACATTGATGTCCATATCCTTAGTATCATGCACAATGAAGTGGTCGATGTTCATGTGACCATACAGAGACCCGACGACAACGTCACGGTATTGTCGCATCCATAAGTTATACTTCTGCCAGCATGTCTCGTCCCAGTTCTTCTTGCTGTCGGTGCGGGCCGGGGGCACATGGCCCATCAGGATCGCCTTCATGCCACGCTCGCGGAGGAATTGCAGCTGCACGCGGAGCCATTCCATCTGCTTGAAGCCAGGCTCTGAGGGCTGCTGGCAGTCATCGACGCCCGCATTTCGGTCAAAAAAATATAGCGTATTTAAGCTGAAGACCGCCAGCTTATTGGGGATGACCTCAACGTAGAACCAGCCACCGAAACCAAACGAGTGACGCTGCTCCTCCGGGATGAAACGCTTCCAGATCTCCGAGTAATATCCCAGCCACTTGTTAGGGCCCGGTCGCAGGATATTGTGCGGTAGAATGTCGTTGTTTCCAAAGGTGGGAATGACCGGTACGGTCATGCGCGTGGCATCGGTCGGGTGAGCGAATGTTTCGACGAATTTGTCGGCGATCAATCGATTTGTGCCAAGCACCTGGCTGGCATTTCGAGGAATTTCTTCATCGCTGTCGTGGCGCGCTGAGTCGCCAGTCCAAATGACGAAGTCGATGTCGTCGGCGATGTTCTTGGCAATCCAGTCGAAAGTCGCGTCTACAAGGGAGATGGGGGAGTCGCAGTCTGAGGTTTCTGCGCCGTAGTAGCCTGAAGGCCCGCTGCCCCTGTGGCAAGCTATATCTTCTTCTGTTGAGGTGTGGGCTTTATAGAACTGATCTGGGTGGAAATCTGTAGGATCGCCGCACGGCAGCTGTTAGCCATTTCTGTCCCAATGGCGAGCATTTGGGTGTGCTCGGGTTGCATTTCACGTACCTGTAATGTGCAGAAACTTCCCGCTCAAGCGGCGAGGCTCTTCCTGAGTTCTTGCAAGCGCAGACGCAGAGCCAATGACTTTTTGCGGCCCGCTGACGACGGGCGTTGCAGTGACGCCATGCAGGAACTGCTGCTGGAGCAGGGCGAGGTGCAGAGGCAGCAAGCCCACTATTGCGGGTAGAGACCGCATTGCTGGGAGGCAGGCCCAAGGCGCGCAGTGCCTGGGTAGGTCTTTTTTTTCTGGGTAGCTTTGACGTGTAGTGTAGGTAGGCGCGCAACGTTCAGCCGAAGAGAGAGGACGAAAATCTGAGCTTGAGAGCGACAGGTCGCGTGGGAGCGAGCGGGAGCGAAGGGAGAATCGGGATTTGCGGTATGATATGACGGGGGAGCGATTCAAGGTTATTTAATCATGGTTTTCCTTCCCCGCCACGTAGAAAATAGGTAGATGAAGAGCAAGTGCGGTCTGTAAATGGTCCGAACAGGGACTTGACTTGTTTTCTGGCTTGGCCGTGACCTGGGTCACTTTCAGGGCTCCGGGGCTGGGCGAGGCGGGCGCAGGGACCAGGGACGCTACCTGGGAAGCTGAGAATGCTGGGTGGTGGTACCTACCTACGTAACTTGTAAGGGTGTGTCCGGCAGTATTGCTTGTATCTTTCGTCCCTTTTTTTTTCCTTTTTTTCTTTCCTGCTTGCCTTCCCTCCCCTTTCTCTGCACCAGAACAAGGGCGCAAGAAAAGACAAAAAAGGGCCAGGGGTCCACGTCAGAGTTACAGCTCTTGGGGAGGTCCCGGCTCGCTATGCTGCGTCTGGAATGGTGGTGGGAAGACCCTAAAATAAAAAACCAGTTGAACTCGAGGGGTGATCCTCCCGTCGCCCGCTCGTAGGCTTTTAATCTGACGGCCGGAGAAGGCAGTGATGATGTTTTTGTGGCTGACCGTCGTTTGGCACTGTTGCTGCTGACCGCCTGTGACTGGGAATATGGTTGTCAGCGAGGCGGAAGAGAGCGTCACAAGCGCCATCGTCTAAGACTCAGACGCCAGGCGGGAAGGGCGTCGTCCCATGCTTTTTAATATGCTGCCAGTCCGATCCTTCCGGCCAATCCAGGCTGCGCATCGTCGCATGCCGTCGCCGTCGTCTGCCACGCTTGCAAAAAAAAAAAGGTCGCAAGACGCAACACGCAGGACATCGCCCTTCCCCGCCCACCACCACCAAATCGTGGTGCACGTCGCCGGAAACATGACAAAACAAAGCCATCAAGGTCCATGGCACCCCTCACTGAACAACGCAATGCTGCTTCGTCGCAGTCTACTAGTCGCATCACATCTCCACGCTTAGCATCTCGCGCCCACTTAACTGACACGCTGATATCCATCCACAAGGCTGAGAACTCTATGTTGGGGAAAGCAGCCAATCGAGTCGTAGCACGCCAACACGTGTGTTCACTCGACGACACCCTCTGGGGCCGTAATCCCTCTAGAACTCAAAGGCAACACGGCACACAAGCCCACAAGTGTTCTGTGTGTCTTGTGCCCGGCATCCATCGATTCGACGTCTGAGTCGACCAAAAAGATAGGCCTGTAGGTGTGCTGGTCTCGGCACCTCTGACCGGGCCCTCGTGGCCTTGCGCCTTTGCCGCCCCATCCCACGCGTCCTGTGGTCGTAAGATCAGAAATGCGACCATATGCTTCTTTGGATTGTGCAAAAAACCCGCATCGCCGCATCCTGGGGTAAGCTAGTTGGCGCGAGTCAAACGGCACTTGTTCGTCCCCGTCGCTTGATCTGCCCGCTCCCCCATCTTGGGGCCGCGTGATGTCTCCACCACCAACCAATCCATGATCTTCAGAGGCTGTAGTCTATATTCGTGCTTGAAAGTGCCAAGGTAGTTCTTCATGCTACCCGCGTCTGAAGAGACGCCGTTGCAAAGTTCAATATAGCAGAGTTGGGCTTGTGCTATCCCTCGGCTGACAACTGACGTCATGTCCCGTCAACATGCTTCGCCTCTGCTGGCTGACCCTTTCTGGAAAAATGCATAGAACATGTCCACGGCGCAACTAATGTGTGGTTGACAGTGGAGGATGCCAAAGTTACAAGGGCTGGCAGACAGTTCCCAACCGCATTGCGTCGTCTTGCCCGAAAAACAGCTCCGTAGTTGCTGTGCCTCATCTCAAAGTTGGTCAGTTGACTGAATGCCAATCAGGTTCGATTCGTCGAATCTTGAGGGGTCCTGTCACGGTACAACCAACACAACGAATACGCACCAACCAACACCAACACCGCCCACAACCCACCTGCACTTGCTTGCACTTGCACTTGCACTCGCACTTGCATCTGCACATCCAAGCCAACGCCGAATTGGAGCCGGACTTAGGGCCCTCGCATCTTCCGGCTGGGCTTGGCTTGGCAAAGGACGGCCTGTCACCGAGTGTCAACTATCCGCGGCTTCCCAGCTTGCATCGGCATCGACTTTCGGAAGGGTGTTCAGATCAGATCGAAAAACGGCTGCTAGTGGGCAAGCGTAGCCGGACAGGAGAGAATTCAAATGTCGAAGGAGAACGAAACTCGGCTCGGATGCCTTCAACTCAACTCTCAGAAGGGGCACGGTGAAGCAGTCACTGCACCGTCCCCACTTCAGCTAATGCAGCCAGGGGAACCCGAAACTAAGCCGGATCCGCCTTAGCGTCCGAGCTCCATCAGCCAAACACCAAAAGATTTTCTGCGCTCGTCTGGCCTTTCCCTTTTTTCCTCTTTTCAACATATATTCACGCAACACGATCCTGTCGACTCACGCTGCTAACCTCTGCCATGTTTGTCGCATACCAGGCTATCGTTGCTAGATCATACAGCCGCTCGTTTGAGGGTCGCCATCGCTTTTCTCTTCCGTGATGGCCTCCCATGGTTTTTCGCGGCCACATGTAACAAGAACACAGCTAGTCCGAGCCTTGTGAAACTCTTGTTGGTCATCACGCCTTTGATCTTATCAGATTCCGAAATCTTGTTTTGTTTTTAACTGCATTGGCGCTTTGGCTCCTAGACTACGTCGGATACTCCTACCCGAGGCAAACAAATGACGATGAGACCGAGGCCAAGATCCTCGGCTCGAGGAAACATGTCGTGACAATTACCGGGATATCTTGTTGAAAGTTTTTGTTAATGATACAGGTCGAGACAGCGCGCACTTTCTCACGCTGGCGCAGGTGTAGGTCCCTTGAAGTACTTGCTTGGGACAAGAGGCATCTTCGCCACTGTTGCTGCCCTCTTCTTACCGCGTACCACCACGTCCAGCTCCGTGCCGGACTTGTGCTGTCCCTCCTTGACGTATCCCATGGCAATGTTCTTGCCCAGTGTCGGGCTAGGTGAGCCACTGGTGATGACGCCCACCTTCTCGCCGTCCTTGGTGAAGATCTCGGCACCCTCGCGAGCGGGAGCGCCGGCGACGAGGAAGCCTACACGGCGTCTCTCGATGCCAGAGCCACCCTTGCTCTTAGGCACGAGCTGCTTGGTGATGACCTCGGCGCCGTGGAAGCCGCCCTTGGTCCTCCTCTCCTTGGGAATGATCCAAGAGAGGCTACCCTCCACCGGCGTCGTGGTGTCGTCGATGTCGTGGCCGTACAAGCACATGCCGGCCTCCAGGCGCAAGCTATCACGCGCACCGAGACCGGCGAGCTGAAGCCTCTCGGGACCGGCGACCTCGAGAAGGGTCTCGGCCAGCGGTTGCGCTTCGCCGTTGGTCGACTTGAAGGAGATCTCGAAGCCGTCCTCTCCAGTGTATCCTCCTCGGCTGATCATGGCCTTCTCGGAAGTCGTCTTCCACTCGCCATTGACCTTGTATCTCAGCTTGGCGAAACCGGTATTGCCAAAGTACAGCTGCTCCAGGTTCAGACCGTCCGCGGGGTCAATAACCTCCTGGAGGACCTCGGCCGCTTGGGGGCCCTGGAGGGCAACCAGACCATAGCCCTCAAGAACCTCCCACCAGAAGTCGTTGCTCTCAGGCTTCTGCAGGTCGGCCGTCTGCTCGGTGAGGTATTTGAAGATCTTCTCGCGAGTACCAGCGTTGGAAACTACCGCATACTCGTTCTCGCCGAGGCGGGTGATCATGGTGTCGTCAACAATGCCGCCGGTCTTCGGCCACAGGAACGTGCTGAGCTTGCTGGAGTTGATCTCCATGTCCAAGACGCTCGAGGGAGTCACGGTCTCGAGGAATGACGCGGCTTTGGGGCCGGTGAAGCGGTGCTGGACCATGTGGCTGACGTCAAAGAGGGAGGCGTGGTTGCGGGTGAAGTGGTGGGACTCGGCGAGACTCAAACCGGTGTACTGCACGGGCATGTGGTGGCCGCCAAAGATGACCATCTTGCCGCCGTGGGCAAGGTGGAAATCGTACAGAGGGGTCTTGTCCTGCTTTGAGAAGGCCTCGAGCTTCTGCTTCCAGTTCTTGCGCGCCTCCGCCGAATAGAAGCGTACGGGCGCTGGCATCGGGGCCGGGGCCGAGGTGGAGTTTGCTCCGGCGGCGGTGGCCGCAAGGGCGAGAGGCCTGCCATTGCGGCAGGGAGATGCCAAAAACGGCCTCGCCGTCCTGGCGGCTGCGATCAAGCGTAATCTGGTCATATTGGTTGTCAATTGACTGGTTTTGGAGAATCGAGGGAAAGTTCCTGGAGAGGAGAATGCGGGCGAGGAGGGGTCGAAGGGGTGGGAGCTTGTAGAGGTCCTATGAGGTAGGAAAACCGATAAGAATGCGATAGGGACGGTAAGCGGGTCCACCCGTCTCGGATGGCGGACCGAGCTGCGGCAGCCATCCGAAGATGCGAGTTTGCCAAGGCGATGTCGGAATGGTGCCGTGGATGAGCCATCCATCAGCCCGAACAGTAGAATTTGTCGACTGTCTCATTCCTCGCTTGTCTGTGATGAACTTCTTTCCATCTAAGACTTGCAGGTGAAGATGGACAGAAACCCACGAGAGATCGCTGTTGGACGCTCTCGCCACCTTGGGTGCTTTCATTCTGTTGTTTGTGTGGTAATCTTCCAACATAATACACGAATCCCAAGTTCGTTCGAAAGTTGTTCGCTGTATGATTGTCCTCATGCTTGTTTCCTCCATCCCGATCCCCACGTTCAGTAAATGCCCGTAGTGGCGGCGGTTTTGCCGCTGGACGCGGCTCCGACAATGCTCCACTCCCGGGGCCGTACCCAGCTGCCG